CACATCCGGGTACCACCAAGTTTAGGAGGTGCAGGAGATCTCTGGCTGCTGCTTTTGACAAGCCGTGCTTCACAATGAACGCCAGGAGGAGCAGGAGGAGGGCTCCCATTGTGACTGAGGAACCAGCATATATCTTCTTCTCTCCACAGAAAAACTGCTCCTAGTAACACATGACAGGGCAGAAATATGCTTTAAAAGCTAAATGCAGTAGAAATGAACCAAAATGTCATCATTTCCATATGTAAAAAAAATGACAAATGAAAAATAGTAACTGTTGGATCTTCTTCTGTAGTTTCATCATCAGATGAAGCAGAGTTGGTCGTTCCTTGGTGCTACAACATATAAGAGAACGAGATACAAAATGTGTATTGAGGCAGATGATGTTTCTTAAACAGAGTAGACGAGGTGAAGGCTGGCAGAAATCTAGAGGATATAGGTGCCTGGAACCTTCTTATAGCCTCTGCACAATTATGAGTGGGGAATTTTATTGTAGAGAGTATCTTACTATAATATAAAGCACCTGTAGGTGACTGTGGCTGTGATTTGGCACCATGTAAAAAAATTGAAATGAATTTTAAATAAATTAGCTTTTGTGAGCAACACATTTTGCAAGCTGTAATCCTGCCTCTTTCTACTAGGCATAGGACATTTAAACGTGACGATCTATGGATGTTATTTAAGTGGCAGCCTTCAGTCTATGAAAAAAGAAGAAGAAAAAAACAGACTCAGTCTCCTCAGACTGCCATGTTAAAACTTCCTGTATGCATATACGCTACCATTTCATGGTCTGGATCTACCTCTTTGGTTTCTGCTTTCCCAGCTGACAGATGACTGGCCTACGAGTCAAAAAAAGATGGATGATGACCATCTCAATGGCATAATTTTAATATCCTTAAAATACTTTTCACTCAAGGCAGCTTCACGTACCGTAGGATCTTCATCTTCGTCAGAATCAGATGAGTAACAATCTGTGTCCCCATCATTATAGACTGTGTTATCTCTCGCAATATGCTGTCATGGATTATAGCACAAAAACAGAATGAGGAACCTTTTTCATTTTAGAAGTATAAAAACTTCTAAACATATCAATAAACTACATATGCCGGATCCATGATTTAATCCCAATAATAATCCCATGTAATGTTTGACACCCCTACTTTACCATTACATGCTCTGAATCTCCTCTTCTGTCATCTGTAGGCCCAGCAGACACATGAGTGGCCTGAGATAAAGAAAATTATGATTTCTAAGCATGATATGATCACATTCAACGTTTATATATAATCACCATAGGATGTTTTGTATCTTCAGTATTAGATACTATTGTCTCCAAGTACTCCAACTAACTAATGGCCTCAATAAGAAATTTCATTCACCACCTTTTGACAACAGCTGTACTACAGTTAGGTCCATAAATACTTGGACAGAGATAACTTTTTTTTTTCTAATTTTGGCTCTGTATATTACCACAATGAATTTTAAATGAAACAACTGAGACTTTCAGCTTTAATTCAATGGGTTGAACAAAATGATTACAAAAAAAAATGTCAGGAACTAAAGCACTTTTTAACACAATCCCTTCATTTCCGGGGTTCGAAAGTAATTGTAATTAAATAACCTAAAATATAATGTTAATTTTTTTCCCTTTTTAATCCTCTGCCAGGCCTTTACTGCAGTGGCTTTCAGTTGCTGTTTGTTTTTGGCTTTTCTGTCTGAAGTTTAGTTAAGGTTAGGTTAAGATCAGGTGACTGACTTGGCCATTCAAGGATATTCCACTTCTTTGCTTAAAAAAAAACTCCCTTTGGCTGCATGTTTTAGGTCGTTTTCCATCTGTATTATGAAACAGCGCCCAATCAATTTGACTGCATCTAGCTGGATTTGAGCAGACAGTATGTCTCTGAACACCTCCAAATTAATTTGGTTGCTTCTGTCCTGTGTCACATCATCAATAAACACTAGTGTCCCAGTGCCACTGGCAGCCATGCATGCCCAAGCCATCACAATTACTCCGCCGTGCTTTACAGATGATGTGGTGTGCTTTGGATCATGAGCTGTTCCACACCTTCTCCATACTTTTTTCCTGCCATTATTCTGGTAGATGTTGATCTTGGTTTCATGTGCCCAAAAAATATTTTCCCAGAACTGTGCTGCCTTTTTTTGATGTTTTTTTTAGTTTTTTTGTTTAGCAAATTCCAGTCTAGCCTTTCTATTCTTGAGGCTTATGAGTGGCGCCTTTATTTACTTTCATGCAGTCTTGTCTTCATGGTAGACGTTGATATGGATACGCCTACCTCCTGGAGAGTGTTGTTTCACTTGGTTGGCTGTTGTGAAGGAGTTTCTCGTCACCACGGAAATGATTCTGTGATCATCCACCACTGTTGTCTTCTGTAGCCATATAGGGTTTTTTTTGCGTTGCTGAGTTCATCAGTGCTTTCTTTCTTTCTACAGATGTACGACACTGTAGATTTTGCCACTCTACTGTTTTAGCCATTCTCGAATGGTTGTTTTCTGTTTTGCAGCTTACAGATAGCTTGTTTCACTGCATGGAGAGCTCCTTTGACCGCATGTTGTCTGCTCACAGAAAAATCTTCCAAATGCAAGCACACCACACAAATAAACTTCCAGCGTCTTTTATCTGCTTATTGACATTAATGACATAATGAAAGAATTGCCCACACCTGCATATGAAATAGCCTTTGAGTCAATTGTCAAATTACTTTTGGTTCTTTTAAAAAGAGGTGGGACATATTAGGAGCTGAAACTCCTAAACCCTTCATCCAATTTAAATGTGGATGCCCTCAAATGAAACCTGAGAGTCTACACATTATGTCCATGTTCATTATATAACTATAGATGGAATATGTTTCAGTAAACGGGTAAAAAAACAAAAAAACAAACTTGTGTCAGTGTCCAAATATACATGGACCACTCTGTGTATTTCACATGTATCTAGAGTGGCCAGGGAGGATAAATAAGCTTCTTCAAAAACTTCAATGACTGCTCCTATAAAAAGATGAAAAATGCACTTGATTTAAATCTGGTTGCTTATTTTATTTTCTCCCTAGAAGTGTGACACTGGACAAAGAAGCTTGTTTGGTTTGTGCACAAAATTTAAATCAGGTAAGTTTACTCTCTTTTTGCACATTTTTACTCTATCCTTGTGGCCAATGTTATAGCCTCTCTGGATTTTAAGTAACTTTGGATTCTTCTCTTTCTAAACCTTAAAAATTCTCAAAACGATAATTTACCGTTTGATGGTCTGAATCTGTTCTATCATCTGGTGGCCCAGCAGACCCATGATGAGCCTAGAAGACAGGACTTTGCTATAAACATCTTCATATGATCATTTTAATATTGTGAAAGAAAAAGCATTTCATTTACTGTAAGGCTCACATATACGGGTGCTACTTCAGTATCAGATGAGCGGAAATATATAATCTCGACATGAATGTGACGTTACAAACTTTCTGATCATTAACTGTAAAATAACATTTAATTTTTTTTCTAAGGTTTAATAATTCTTATTATATAGTATCAGTATTAAGGTATTTTACCTTTTTATGGTTTGAATCTCCTCTTCTGTTACCTTTTGGCTCAGTAGAGCCATGGCCAGCCTGAGAGACACAAAAAGATAAATTAAGGAATCTACACATATTTGGTAATTTAAAGATGTGAAACATCAATTTGTAGCTGCCAGTGATTTTTAACAGGAGTATTATCATTGTTGTGGTTGACAAGCCTCATGCATCACTATTTGTGATCATGAATGTTTTCCTGTCCTCTATGTGGTCTGTCTTGTCCTCAGTGTTTTACTTTCAGTTATGCCTGTGCGTTTGTCTCTCTGCTTGTTCTATGTCCTAATTGTCTAGTTGGTGTTGTCATGTCTACGTCTCTCCATGTTTCCGGTTTTATTTAGAAAAATCTGGTGTTTCCATGTTTAATGTGTATAGTTGTACGTTCTCTGTGGTGTCATTATGTTTATTCCAGTCAGTTGTTTCCCCATGTGTTTCCACTTCCCCTGATCACCTCCTGTGTGTATTTAGTCTGTGTTTTCATTTAGTTTTGTCAGGTTGTCTGTTTTCCTTCTCCCCGTCACTTCAGGTTTCCAATGTCTTTATGATTCTGTGATTCTGAGCGGTGTTTTGTTATTGGACTTCTGTGCAAATCACAGTTTGGCCATAACGAACACCTTGTTCAAACACAAGAGTGTCCATAAGTGCACGTGGCACCAGGACGCTCTAGGCCGCAGGTCAATGATCAATTTTGTAATCGTATCAGCAGACCTGCGACCACATGTTCTGGACACTCGGGTAAAGAGAGGGGCTGAGCTGTCAACTGATCACCACCTGGTGGTGAGTTGGATCAGGTGGCAGGGGAGGACGCTGGACAGACCCGGTGCACCTAAAAGCGTAGTGAGGGTGTGCTGGGAACGCTTAGCAGAGGCCCCAGTCCGTGAGATCTTCAACGCACACCTCCGGCAGAGCTTCAACAGCATTCCGAGGGAGACTGGGGACATTGAGTCCGAATGGACCATGTTCAGCATCTCCATTGCCGAAGCTGCTGCTTTGAGCTGCGGCCACAAGGTGGTGGGTGCCTGCCGTGGTGGTAACGCCCGAACCAAATGGTGGACACAAGAGGTGAAGGGAGCCACCAGGCTGAAGAAGGAGTCCTATCGGGCTTGGTTAGCCTGTGGGACTTCGGAGGTAGCTGACAGGTACCGACAGGCCAAGCAAAATGCGGCTTGGACAGTGGCTGAAGCAAAAACTCAGGTGTGGGAGGAGTTCGGAGAGGCCATGGAAAAAGACTTTCGGACTGCCTCGAAGAGATTCTGGCAAACCGTCAGGCGTCTCAGGAGGGGAAAGCGGTGCTCTACCTGCACTGTGTATAGTGCTGGCGGAGCGCTGCTGACGTCGACTGAGAAAATTGTCGGGCGGTGGAAGGAATACTTCGAGGACCTCCTTAATCCCACTGACACGTCTTCCGAGGAGGAAGCAGAGTCTGGGGATGAGGGGAATGACCCGCCAATTTCCGAGGGGCGAGGTCACTGAGGCAGTTAAACAACTCCTTGGTGGCAGAGCCCCTGGTGTTGATGAGGTCCGCCCCGAGTTCCTGAAGGCTCTGGACACGCCTCTACAATGTTGCGTGGAGATCAGGGGCAGTACCCCTGGACTGGCAGACCGGGGTGGTGGTCCCCATCTTTAAGAAGGGGGACCGGAGGGTGTGTTCCAACTACAGGGGGATCACACTCCTCAGCCTCCTGGGAAAGTCTATGCCAGGGTGCTGGAAAGGAGAGTTCGTCCGCTAGTCGAACCTCGGATACAGGAGGAACAAT